GAACCGTCCATCTTGACGGTTCAGGGCACGGCCAGGCCTCGCAGCATTGAGGCCGGCCTCTGCCCCACTGGTACAAAAGTACCGGTCCAGCCTCATTGAGGCTATCGACCCACCGGCACTCTAACGGTGCGGTATGGTACGGCGCGAATCAGCGCTGGCGCTAAGTTTAGCGCAGGCGCAGTGAGGAGCAGCGCAGCGCAGCATTAGCGCAGCAGCCACGAGCGGAGCAGCAGCAGCGGCAACTGGGCGTATCGGCGGCCATAGCCGCCTGAGGTATCGGGAGTCGGAGGCTTCTCTCCTCCCTCCCATCGCCAGTCCCCTCTCTCTCTCTCTCCTCCTCGGCTCCCTTCGTCTTCTTCTTCTTCTTCTTCTTCTTCTTCTTCTTCTTCTTCTTCTTCAGATTGGAGACTTATACTAGTTGGACAGAGATCAGAGTTGGACTTCGGTGGTAAGAGGCTGTGGTACTTACCGGATTCGAGACTTGGAGATTGTTGGGGATGATACTCGGCTGCATCACAGATTGGACGCCGGTTACATTAGGACTCTGTATCTCCGACATTGGTGACTTATTGTCCGCGACATTTTGATCTTGTTCGAGGACATTTTGGATTACCATATCGGTGACCTACTGGTTTCTATCTCGGTGACATTTGGTGCTACCTACATCTCCCACCTCTCATCTGTGTATGGGTGTACGAGGTCTGGGCATCGTCTATGCTTGGCCCAGACCACACCATCTCACGATTGTATGTGTGTGGAGTGATATCTGTGCGAGTCAGTCTATGTGAGTCAGTCCGTTTATCAGACTTCCGCTGCATATATGCTCATCCTACATTGGTTGATCTTTGGTTCTGCCCATACTCATTGAAGTATGTAACACACTGCTGCACATCAACTTGACAGAAATTTTTGTATTCATAATTTTTCAGAGTTATTTCAACAGTTAAGTCCAGGGGGGGGGGGGTACCAACGGAGCTAATAACTCATTCCGGCGTTTAAGTAACATTTTCGCTATATCGGTGGTGGGGCAAGGAGGAGAGCGGGATGGCTCGCGCTAGAACTCGTCATCAGTCCAGAACGGGAAAAGCATCCGCACATCACGACCACGCATGCTTCTACCATCACATATATACTCTGACGAATCAGTTTGTCACCACCCCTCATTCGTTGTCCTCTTCTCTGCCTCTCTGCCTACTGTTTTTCTTTTAAATTTGACAAATTACAATGATATCTGTTCGACAATGGACAGCTCGCCGTTCACCACCCACCACTCGTACAGAATTGATCAATTCTGTTAACAAAATATAATAACATATTCCTAGGTTATCAGGGGCACCCTATCAGGCATGCCCGGCCAAGCACCCGTGCAGGTCATCCCGCCATCCGCCTGCCCAGGGTACCCCGGGCAAGCAAATGGCCCCACCCTTTCTTTTCCTTCTTTTTTCTTTTTCTTTTTAACTTTTTCACAAAGTTTTAGGTGGTTTGGGGCATCTCTGCTCCTAGCCTCCTACTAAGTTCTCCCCAACCAAATTTTGCAAACACGCTTTTATGTTTTTTAAGCATGTTTGCAAAATTTGATTGGGGAGGGGGGGATTGGGGCGTTGGGGAAGGAGGGGTGGACGATAGAGGGAGGAATCATCATGATCATCTTTATCTTCATCATTCCTGCACAACTCAGGTGGGACTGCACGTGGAATCATCATCATCATCATAATCATCATCATAATCATCATGTTGACCATTCCATCATGACGATCATCATCGTCAGCGCCA